GAATTTAATGGTAATTGTATTCATATGCAGATAACAATTAAAACGAGTAAAATGGTTCGAAATATTTTACAGCGATCGCGAGTCTGGTGAACGTGTTTAGTCTAGTTTACGAGAATTCGAAGTCCTCGGCATTGAGTCTCTAATTTTTTTTTTCGGCTGCTTATGTTGGATCTTTCTTTCAGGTTGTTCAGTAAATATAACGGTTAAAGATATAGCCGGGCGAGAATAAAAATCGTCTGAGATCGATTATGACTTTGCTCTTTATGACTTTGAGGGTCCACACTTAGTCCACGCAGCCGATGCTTGGGGCATCCGCCTTGTTCACGTTACCCTTTCCGTGGAAGATTCAAAAAAGAAAATGTCATCCATGTAGCAGTTGTTTCTGCATGATAAACGTCTTTGTCAAGAATTTGCCGTCGTCCAAGATGGTATTAGAAGGGGAAATTACAGAAGGTCTCGATGCATTAAAAACAAAAAAGCGGAGATGGATTCCTGCCAAACGTTATTAAACCAAGGAAAGAAGAGGGAAGAAGTAAATTATACACAATAGTTTTAAAAAAATCGATATTGGGAATATTGTGAACTAACCCGTTGCTAAATAATTTTTATCACATTGACGTTTCAAATAATCTCAAAGATATTCGATCATTTTCTAGGTCTTTCTATTTAGAGCTCGAATGACTTTCTTTTACGATTCTAAAAGCATCTTCACCCCCTTTAATCTGTCGTCTGACGCTGATGATCCCTTTAGGGTGACGTAACGTAGAAGGTTCAGTTATGGGGGTGGTAAAAGCCATGACAATTTTGAATAATGCACTTTGGGAGTATGATGACTGTATTAGGAGTTTCCCCACATGTAGCTCATAAAGATGATATATCCTTTAATCAAGAAGTCACATGTCAAATTTTCCCTTTTAAATAAAACGGGTAATAGTGACGAAAGACAAGATACCTTTTTGCCGTCCATTTTCATTACTATTGTCCATCCCCCGCCTTCGCAGCCCTCAAGGTCATCAGTCAGGTGACTGTAAACGTTGACCTTTCTACGATCCACTAGAAGTTAAAACGCTCTATTCTCCTGTGACCTGAAGTAAAGCATTTTTTTTTCTTGTTAATCATTTGCTTCATATATTTATTGATTTTTACTTTTTATTACCTAAAGTAACAACTGTGTTGCTATGAACTGGTTGATAGGAATGGATGGGAATACATTTGGCTGGAGATCATGGCGCACGAGCCGAGCCGTCGTTCTTTCTCAAGTTTTTCTTCCTTTTTTCAATTAACTCACAGCGTGCTCGGCTCGGCGGCTTTTTCTGACCATAGTTATGGTTTATATTGAAACTTTTTCATGTAGCAAAGTATACTCATTACATAGCAAATGTTAATTATAGCTGTGGGTAACCTGATATCTGCAAAATGATAAATTAATTAGCAAAATTGGAAAAAGGGCTCGTGCAGGGAACTTTGAGAGGTACATCTAAGCTAGCGAGAAAATACATCATGGCTGTGGTGAAAAATTCTAAGGAAACACATCATATGGCTTGTGTGTTCTGTATCGGCAATATTTTCGTCTGAAGGTCAACGAAAGATTCTGCATGACGACAGTGACATTTCTTCTTTGTTTGTAAAAACAGATGCAATGTTATACCATTTTCCAGGGTTTTTCAAACTTAGCTCTAGCCTTAGGCTTAAATGAATTATCAATTTTGATCTACCTTTGCATTTTGTAAATTTCTTCATACGAATGAAAGAAAGGACCTGTAATAGGATTAAGTATACAAAATTGCAAATGTATCAATTATATTATTGAGCTATATTTATATCAACGCTCACCCTGGTGTGAGGATCTAGATTACGTGATGCGCATAATACCAAGAATAAGTACAACTAGTTCAAAGCTGAGCAACTATTTTTCTTGAAAAATATTAAAGGTCCGTGGGAAATTTTCTGAGCTAATTTTTGAAGCAAATGGAGGTCATCGTTTATATTGTGGGTCCACTGTTGCCTGTACTAATTTGTAACTTTTGACCAACTATTTGACTAGTTTTACCTTCGTCACAGTTTTCACCTTTGAATCCAGCAGAACACAAACAGCGATATCCTTTGTACTTAAAACCGCTTTGACAAGTGGCG